CATAGTAAATCAGTCAGGGATGGGATGCTGAGATAAAATAATCCGACAAACATATATAGGTTGAAATTAGAAGCTTAAAAAGTGAAGTGGTGTCAATTGTTTTGCGTAATAAAACCTCAGAACACGAATGAGATTGAAGAGCAACAGGCATACCAACTGCACACCGTACTTAGTATACGTAATGATCTCAACTGCATTATTCCCATCATTGTCAAATATGTTATCCGTAGTTAAAATTTCCATCTCTCTCTCTCTCTCTCTCTTTGCACACATTGTGGTCAGGCGAATTTCAGACATTAGAGTAATTTTCATGTGAATAGCATTAGTCTGTCATAAAAGTAATATATTACACAATGTTGTCCATGATAATGAGTCGATATTGTCTGTATTATTAATGAACTACCGCCGGTGATCGCTATTGTAGTGTACTGATATATTTTTCCGTATGTGTGGGTCTCTTTTTTGTAGTATTGTCTAGTGTTTTCATATTGTTTCCCTTGCACAAATCACATTCAGAAGTTTAATTACCATGAGTTTAGTTCATAGTAGTACGCCTTGTACTGTAGCAGGCAACATGTACATGAGTTCACGTACATCAGTTCAGGTTGCCATACCGCATTAGCACAAACATGCAATTGTCAATTCAAACCCCATAGTGGTAGCGATAATAGAAGTATTAGCAATAATGGAGAAGATTAGGATATAAAGATGATGAAGAAACCAGAGAGGAGCCAACGAATGAATGCACCGGCGCCATTGCAAACGGTTTTGAGCCATATCACTCAGGGTCTCTAACCATCGATCATTATCATCTCGCAGACCCCAACCAGGTAGTCCAAATCTACCAACATGACTCAGTCCACTTGTCAGTGACTTCATGCATTTCTGACATGTTTTGGTTTGGCCGCCCCCTAGGTAATCGATGGTTTGGCACTGGTAACTCATGTCCCAACCGTTAAAGGCGATCTGTCTGTGTCGTAGCAATACTATACAATTTAGCAACTATTCATCTTCAGCTCGTGTAGACTTTTTCTAAATCAGTGATAATGCTTTTTTTTAACCTCGAAGTTTTTGAGGCAGTTCAACTCACACCCGTCATTTTTATGTCCGTTTTTAGTTCCTAATTCTCACAACAGTCTTTTTTTCCTAATTGTTTCTCCATGTTGTGCTGATGTTGAATGTGACAATTTAACCTGAATGTCTGTTTGTTCAATGTCTTGTTTTTCTATGAACGGTTTATACTTGTTTATACTTATTTGAGCATTTGTCGAATAACCTATAATCCTGTGTTTTCGGTCTGTGGGGGTGAGGACACATTGTTGAGGGCACCCTGTATATATGTACATGTATATATATATATGATAAGGATATGATCATATCACACGGACAGACAGATACAACACAGAACTTCGGATATAACTACATCAGTTCTGGTTGCCATACCACGTCAGCACAGAGACGCAACTGTCAGTTCAAATCCAAGAGTGATAGCGATAGTAGAATTATTAGTAGCAATGGAGAAGATTAGGGAGCAAAGATATGATTCGAAAAGTATAATTCAGTGAGATAAACTTAGGAGGAAGAAAGAGATGACGAGAAATTCAGAAGGTTAGAAATAAACAGCACACAAAGAGTGAATGTACCTGCGCCATTGCAGACGATTCTGAGCCATTTCGTTTAAGGCCTCTAACCATTGGCGACTTTCGTCTCGCAGACCCCAACGAGATAGCCTTCATCTATCAACATGACTCAGTCCACTTGTCAGTGACTTCATGGATTTTTGCCATATTTTGGTCTGGTCACCCCTAACTTTCTTCCAACCTACTCTTACACTGCAAAACATAGCTCATCGAGGCAGTCGGTGGTTAGACATACAGAGCACATGTCCTAACCACCTCAACTGATGAAGTTTCAGTACTTCATCTATTGATTTGCCATCCTTACCTAGAACTCGTTTCCTATCGATAACATTGCTTACTCGGTCGCCTCAGTTAAACAAGCAATGCTTTGGATACACCTATGATCGATGACTAGTAAACTACGAATATCTTCTACTCTCACTGGCCATGTTTCTTACTCATATATAGTAGAACGGAGCGGACTTTTGCTCAGCACTCGTTTTCTGATAACAACATTGCTCACTCGGGTGTCTCAGGATACACGAGCAATGCTTCGGATACACCTATAATCGAAGACTACTACCGTACAAATTTCCTCTACTCTCAACGGTCATGTTTCGCATCCATATGAAGTAGCACAGAGCGAACTACTGCGCAGTACACTCATCCTTTGGTTAACAAGCGGATATCAATATAATCATATCACCCTACTATAAAATATTCATTCGTGGACTATACCTAGTGTTTGTTTAACCTTTTAGTTATATGTCCAATGAAGGAAGAACTGAAACAATTAACTCAACCCTAATATATGTCTGTCTATCTAACAATAGATCATTCTCTAAAAAGGCATATTTCTTGTTAAATATATTGTGTTTTGGGGTTAGGTAGGTGTCCATTATCAAATTATTTTTCCCAATTCTATATAGGGGTCATTCACATGGGCGTAGTTTTTGATACGTTTTACTGCAGCAGGAGTCGGCGGGGTGGGGGTGTGAGGGAGATTACGAGAGAAAGGTGGATTAATTTTTCTATTTTGCATCAATACACGGTCTCTCTCCTCATGTTTACAGACATTGTTTTTTAACAAAAGCGATCATGATAAGTGATATGATATGATACGATATCCCAGGTAGCGTTTGTTATAATTTAGTTAGAGTTTACAAATAGGGTGTGTTATTGATCTCATGCTTATAACTAAAAGGTCACTCAATGATTTGATTTCTGGCTTAGAATGTTGAAAGGATGTGTTTTTTGCGATTCTGACAAACCTTAGTTTGTTATAAACTTGAAATAAAAATCCTAACTAGATGGTCATGCATTTGGTTCTTGTTTATTTATAATCCATCGATTGTCCTAAAAACCTACAAATTCTTTCGTTTCTATGTGTATTTGTTACTAATTTTGAAAAATGTGTAGCTCAAGTGGATGGTTGTGTTGGAGTTTCGTTCTCTGAGCTTGGGATGTTTTGGTTGTGGAGCTTTTCATTGTTCATGTTAACAAAATCTATCTGAAGTTTGAACTGATTGTTACGTCTCTGTGCTGACGTAGTATGGCAACGTGAACTGATATACTTATGTACGAAGTTCTGCGTTGTATCTGTCTGTCTGTCTGTCTGAAGTTTGTGCTGAGGATGATGTTGTGCCATAGAAGAAGAACAATGACAGATGGACAATCAAGAGATCCCCAGTTCAGAGAACGAAACTCCACTGCACTATATTTCTATTCTTTATCGAAAAAAGAATTTATCCCTCTTCATTTCCTGTTATGTGAAATATTTTGCTAAAATTGATGTGAAGTGAATTCTGTACAGTTGTAGATTATTTAATTGTGTAATGATTCATCGCGCTCGCAGAATAAAAAAACAGTGTTAGCTTGAACATATTGCTTACTGTACAGATAATGCAGGTGCATTCACTCTTTGTGTTTTCTCTCAAATCCTAATCTTCTGAATTCTTCAATGGCGCAGGTGCAAATCTGAATTCGTCAATGCCTAAACTTTTGTCTTTTTACACCTATCTCACTGAAATATACTTCTTGAATAATATCTTGGAACTATAATCCTCTGTATTACCAGTAGTACTCCTACTATCTCTCTACCACTATGGGATTTGAATTGACAATTGCGTCTCTGTGCTAATGTGGTATGGCAACCTGAACTGATTTACTTACGTACGAAGTTCTACGTTGCATCTGACTGATTGACTCTACAGATAATAATCTTAGTGTGGCCAAACCGAAGGATGGCACAAATTCATGAAATCACTGACAAGTGGACTGAGTCATGTTGGTAGATGTAGGCTACCTGGTTAGGGTCCACATGATAAAAGTCACCGATGGTCCGCGAGACGAAAGTAACTGATAGTTAGAGACCTTGAACGACATAGCTCAAAATCGTTTGCAATGGCGCAGATGCATCCACTCTTTGTGTTCTCTCAAATTTTAATCGGAATTCCCCATAACCTTTATCTTTCTGTTCTCAAATTTATTTCTCACTAGATTCTACTTCTTGAATAATATCGTTAAACCCTAATCTTCTCCATTACTGCTTATACTTCTGCTACCGCTACCACTATGGGATTTGAATTGACAATTGCATCTCTGTATGCTGATGTAGTATGACAACTTGATCACACTGATGTACGTACACGTACAAAGTTCTACGTTATAACTGACTGAATGACTGTTCATGATATGTATGATAACACTTTGGTAATTGATTAACCTTGCTATCACTATTCTACAATGTTTATATAAGAGAGAGATCGTTTTTCCATCCAAATTAGACAAGTCACCCAAACCTATAGTACCGACACAATAAACATTCAATCAACGGTTGTTGTACCGCTTGCTTATATAATTTCCAGATAAATCCTATTGCTTAGTATTCTCTGACCACAATACACTGTACAAGTTCCCAAGAATCATAAAAACACGGTTGAACAGGAAAAGATTATAATTCCAAATAGCAAGGTTAAATGGAAATAAGAAGCCAAAAGTGATGGCGAAGGCAAAGAAGGCAAAAATAGATAGATACAACGTTAGTTTATTTATAGCATTTTACATGAGAAAGCTTCTGGATAGTAGAAATTCACGTGATCGACTGGATTATAGATTTAGCCAATCAGCACGCAGCTAACAATACGAGAATCTTCTACCGTGTTCTGCAAGATTCGATTAGGCGCTGATTGGATAGGGAATTAGCCAATCAACGCTCAGCTGACGCAGTCATGCTTTAAATTCCATCTACGTCTCACTAACAATGGTGAATAATTCTGTGACTTTTTTTTGACGTTGAATTTAAGCTCTTTTGTTTAATAAAACAAAAACAGATTTCTATTTAACCCATCGACTTTTATTCTTTCTTTTTTTTCTTCATAGATCCGGTTCATGTCTTGTCTCTCGTCCAGTTCTAATTGAAGTACATCAGTCATTGAATACCTTATTACAATTAGTCATTAATTCAGGTAAGTTATCATGGCGACATGAACTGTGATGTACTTACGTACGAAGTTCTACGTTGCATCTGACTGACTGATTGAGTTATCATTATCATTCTATTGTATGTATATGCGCCTTCCTCATTCTCTTTCTTTCTTTTTATAGCATTGAATCGTACTACTAATCTATCATCCTCATTATCGTCGTCCCTGTCATCATCATCTGCATCCGCAGCAGCAGCAGTTGTATCGTCTAACAACAATAACATATTGGCTATGAAATCTAGTCCTGCTGCTGCAGTGTCGTCATCATCATCATCAACTCAATCGCATTTATTAGCCACTAGAGTAAGTTATTTCATTGTATACTGTACTGTACTACATTTAATCATATCTCCTTAATAATTCACTTGAGCTCCACCTCCGTTCTACTTACTACCTTGATGTTGGATAATGATAAATTTGTTCAACTAACTAGTGGGACAATTTGGGAAACAACTCTTTGTATCCTTCTAAATATAATTTATATATGATGGTAGAGAAAATTTGTAGCTCAGGTGGATGATTGTGAAGCTTTAGATTGTTCTTCTTTTGAACACAACATCATCAGTGTTGAAATACTTGATCAGGGGGAGCACAAAGGACACTAGAGTATTTTTTTAGAAGTTTGGCACTCAGGTCAATTAGCAATCAACATCGACATCTACACACTCGACTTCTTCACTGCCTATAACTAGTTCAGGTACCGATGCAACCCAATATTGAAGCAACATTTTCCAAGATTGGGTCGACGTGTAGACCGCTTCATTTATCTGGAGGGTCTCATCAGTGCTGATGGCCTGGTGACTGACGAAATCTCAGCTCGGATACAGAAGGCTCGATTGGCTTTTGCCAACCTGCGTCACTTATGGCGTAGGCGAGATATTCATTTTTGCTGACTAAAGGACGAGTGTACTGTGCAGTAGTTCGCTCAATCTTACCTTATGGCTGTGAAACATGGCCAGTGAGAGTAGAAGGTAGGTTACTGGTTTTCGATCATAGGTGTCTCCGAAGCATTGTTCGTGTATCGTGGGACACCCGAGTGAGCAACGCTGTTATTAGGAATCGGGTGCTAGGTAAGAATGGCAGATCAATAGATGAAGTGGTGAAACTCCATCAATTGAGGTGGTTGGGACATGTGTTACGTATGCCCAACCACCGACAGCCTCATCGAGCTTTGTTTTGTAGTGTAGGAATAGGTTGGAAGAAAGTTAGAGGCGGCCAAACCAAATCATGGCACAAATCCATGAAGTCGTTGACGAGTGGACTTATCCATGTCAATAGATGTAGACTATCTGGTTGGTGTCCGCGAGATGATAACTGTCGACGGTTAGAGACCCTGAACGTCATGGCTCAAAACCGTTTGCAATGGCGCCGGTGCATTTATTCTTTGTGTTCTCTCAAATCCTAATCTTCTGGATTCTTCAACACCTCTAGTTTAGAACTTCTAAACTTATCTCACTGAATCACAGTTCTTGAATAATATCTTCTAATTCTAACCTCTTCGATTCCTTCTAATACCTTTACTACCTCTTCTACTATTGGATTTGCATTGACAATTACATCTCAGTGTGTTGTAATGTCGTATGGCAACATGAACTGATGTACTTACGTACGAAGTTCTACGTTGCATCTGACTGACTGACCCAATTTATCAACCACTCAAAAAAATCATAGGCAAACATAAGATTGAGAAACAGGTCAGATGAGGGTTTACAATCAAAATCAAGGTGTAAACAATGACAAGTTTAAGATCAATAACATCAACCAATCAAGATCGAGGTTCACAGAACAAACTCCACGGATCAGACATGGAGAAATCCGAATACCTCATTTCTCTTATCTGAAGTTATTGCCGCAGAAGAACAATGATTTGAAGTGACAATTGCTTGCCTCTCTCTGTGCTAATGTGTGATATGACAACTGTAACTGATGTACGTACCTACGTACGAGGTTCTGTGCTGTTGTTGTTGTTGACTAACTGACTGACTGACTGTTGAAAAGAAACATTCACTCTGTTCTATTTTAATTGTTTGTTACAGCTTGCAGCTCGACGTAAAGCACAAGCTACTGGCTTAGTTGTTGGTCCATCATTAACTACGGATACTCATTTACAACAAGCAATGAATAATAATTACAATATTTCTATCCTAATGGAACATCCCCCTATGGAATTATCATTCGTGAATGAACCAATTAAAATACAATTAAGCAAAGAAGCTGAAGCTGAAGTGAGTTTTTTGATTGGTTAACACATTTTGTTGTTACTTTTAATTGGGACTTTGGTGTATAAGTGACTAGCTGTGTGAGGAGGTTTCTCCCAGTTCAACTCTGTTCGGGTATGAGGCAGTGCTCATCGAAAACAGTGGATGAGGTTGGGCAAGATAGTGGATTAATCTAAGTTAGAGATATTAACACGGTTGCATGTCGGCTCAGCGTCCGCCCTGGATTTGATTCCTGTAAGTGGTAAGAGTCGTGAATGTGCACTGCCATTGATGAGTTCCATATCAAGACGAAACGGCCATTCAGTGCTTTCAGGTTTCTAATGGTCTAACACTAATTCATTCATGATTTGACGAACTACCGTTGATTTGTTTATTTAAAATGCATTATGTAATATGCTAACGAGATTTATTTATCTAACGATCTGTGGTGCATTGAAAACTGTACTGTACTGTGTACTTAGAATCAAATAGTTATTAAATTCTTTCAAAGTTTTTGCTAGCGTTGTAAACTTTTCTTTTTTTTGACTTGTTTAACCTCTTACAAGTTTGTTTAAATCAATAATTTCTGCAATTTCATTCATAACTACTTACTTGTTGAATGTTCCGTAAAAAATATGCAAAAACAATCTGTTGGTTTGTTTTTATTAGAAAAAAAATGTGTATATACGTTTTAGTTTTTGGCACAAACAAACTTGATGCTACATTTCCTCATCTTGTAGAATTATAAGCGAAATTTTGAAGTGTTGTGAATGTTACGGAAATGTTTGTTATCTCCCCGTTGCCCACTCTGTAAAATGTTTTGGTTGGCCTTAATGACGTGAAAGCGTGACCTTGGTGGCAAAGGAACAATTGCTTGCAATGTGGGGCCACTCGTCTAAGAGTGAGACTAAACACCGTGTACACTAACTACTATGAGGTGGTGATAGTTGACAGTAAACGCATGAAATTTGATTTGACATGATGCACTATTCAGCAATCAGTCCACTACTATCCACCATCCTATAAGTCAACATCCACTTTACACACTGATTACTTCATCTAATCATTCCGGGTTACTACAAACAGTTCGATTGTATATCAGTGTAGTAGTTTGTATTACTTACTTACGCCTGTCACCCCATAATGAAGCATAGGCCATCGACTAGTGAATTAATTTTCTGGTTAGCAGTTCTTCTTCATAGCCAGAGTACAGTTAGTATTAGTTGTCCAACCTGCATCCAATTTGTTTCACTGATTTCAAGCAGCTACAGGTTGTTTCTTTTCATTTCTGCCACAAATTGGATGACTCTCCCAGGTGTCTCACATTGTACGAACATTCCATGTACCTAAATTAAAATGATATTGCTCTGGTTGTCAGAAGACGCATTGGTCTTGTGACTTCCGAAGTAACTCAACGGCATAACTCTCCTAAATGGAAGACCTAACTCCCAGCAGAGAGTTTGAATTTGAATTATTTTTTCTGATCGAGGTTTTTTTAGAATACGGTTTCGAGCCATGTCATTCAGGTTTTCTAATCATCAATTACTATCATCTCACGGACCCCGACGAGGTAGTCGACACCTGCGTACATGATTCAGTTCACTTGTCAGTGACTTCATGGATTTGTGCCACGTATAGGTTTGGCTGCCCCTAGCTTTCTTCCAACCTACTCTTACACTACAAAACAAAGCTCGTCGAGGCAGTGTGCTGGTACGGGTATGAGGGCGGCTGCCCACACCGTGGAAGGTTGTTTCTTGAGGGACCTGAAAAGGAAGATAGATAAGTGTTGGTCTTAGAGACCTGAGAGCATGGTCGCAGAGTCCAAAGGTCAACTGCTTGAGGCCGGTCACGCACGGCCTTTTTATGTAGGGTTTTTTGAGTGTTAGCTCCGCTCTTGAAAGCCCTTAGTGGGTACCCTTACCGACGGAGACGGAAATCCGTGAGGTGTGACATTTTTAGGGTCGACCTTTTCTAACCCTTCCTTCCTTGTGAGAAGGCAGCATCGCTGCAGATGCGGCCTGTTTTCCGAGGGAAACACCTTACTGTTGTCACACCCCTCTGCAGTCATCAGTACGACTTCGCCCTCGGACCTTGAGTAGCTGCCTTTAGTCTGATCGTTCTTTAGTCGACCAGCCTAGCCTGGCAGAACTTTCAGGAACATATGTTCCAGCCAATATAGCTCGGTCGGGTCATCACGATAGGCAAGCCTGATCACCACGTCAAAGTAGCAGCTACGGTCGGGCGACTAGGTAGTCGGTGGTTAGGCATACGTAGCGCATGTCCTAACCGCCTCAACACTTCATCTAATTGATCTGCCATCTTTACCTAGTACCCGTTTCCTAACTAAAGTATTGCTTACTCGGTTGTCCCATGATAAAAACGAGCAATGTGTAACCTCAAATTGATTTATCACAGTTGACTTGACCTTGATACAATGAACAGTGAGTGTATTTGTACAATCATTTGCTTAATTCTATAAATTCTATGAAAAATCTAACAATTATTGTTGACGTTGCCTTTTTTTTTCTCGCACACTTTTAATAAGGTACAAACATACGTTAATTTGTCTGATTCCTTCATCTATTTTACTGTACATCATCTCTTCTCGTTGCTTTTTCTTTCTTATTATTCTTCTTCTTCAGGCAAATACATTCTTTCAAAAATTACTTGAAGGTATTAATCCACCAGAGGAAATGTTTAAAACCTTGTATGATTTTGCAATTCAAGGTACACCTGCTCAACGTAAACTACTCGATGGTATTCTACGTATGTTAGCTGATGAAGTATCACGTCATTTACAAGATTATCCGGAAACTATGCTTCCATTATTTGCTGATTTATATGGTAATGTTTTGGCGGCTAGTACACATCTGTAAGTTGTGAAACAACCTTGCTTGAACCCACAGAATTAATTATTTTACTTACTTACTTACTGCATATGAATGATAACACATATAAGCGAACAATAGTGTTGTTTTCGATTAGATCGTCATCAGGCTGCTTTACTCTCTAATATATACATGAATATTTATGTATGAAAATGTTAAACCAATCAAGGCAATTTGAGTCAGTAATCACAATGAAATGAAAAAGGCAAAAGTTCAAGTGGATAGTAGGAAGACAGAGGTGTACTGATAGTAGTAAGAAAATTTGTAAAATATGATAACTAAAGTAGGTCAAGGGTGGATGAATAGAATTCAAATAATCATCAAAAATGGATACTGTAAGTCAGGAGCTGGAATTCATCAACGGCTCACTAACCGAGATTGGTTATCCAAGCGCATTCTTAAAGAAGTATATGTCTGCCGTAAAAAAGAAGCCGGTGGTTTCGACTGCCCGAAAGAAGCCTTTGTTTATGAAGCTACAATTCAACGGAGATGTGGCCTGCGATACTCTGCAGGATAGATTAAGAAGAGTAATTAACAGAACATTCAACGCTGCAAAACTTGCATTGACTTTCTCCAGTCAACCTGCGATGTCTACTCTAACGAAAGATAAGTTACCTGAGCTGGCCTCCTTTATGTGCATTTACAAATTCAGCTGCTCCTGTGGAGATAGCTAGCTATATCGGGCGTACTTCCAGGCAACTTAACCAACGAATGAGTGAACATCTTCCAGCATGGTTTACAAAGGGTCAGTCAAAAACAATACGCAGTTCTATCTTAGCACACCTGGTAGATAATGGTCACATTGTAGATAAATCTAGATCTTTTCGGGTGATCTATCGTATACCTCCATCATTTCCCAACGGAGTTCGATCCCGTCACCTACACATTGCAGAAGCCATAGGAATACGTACATTCAACCCTAATTTATGTGTTCAGAAGAAATTCGTGACACCCCTATCTCTTCCGTGGCCGGATATGACGTAACTAACGATTGACATTATATATATATTTTATTTATTTTAATTTAATTTTATTATTTTTATTATTTTTACACATCTGCTTATTCCGTAATGTTTTTGATGTTTTTGATGATTATTTGAATTCTATTCATCCACCCTTGACCTACTTTAGTTATCATATTTTATAAATTTTCCTACTACTATCAGTACACCTGTTTTCCTATTATCCACTTGAACTTTTGCCTATTAGATGTAGTTACGTAATCTCTATTTCATTCCATTGTGATTATCACTCAAATTGCCTTGATTGGTTTAACATTTTCATATAAATATTCATGTATATTAGAGTAAAGCCTGATGACGATCTAATCGAAAACAATATTGTTCGCTTATATGTGTTGTTCTAATTTTCACAATGGGAATCTTTAAAATATTAATGATAATTCTTCGTTTTTTCCTTTCTTCAGTTTTTCAATCCGAGCTCTTTCAATGTTATGGCGTTCAGTATTGGCTCGTTTGTTTACTTTACCACCAGAAACACATATGGATTCTACATTGTTTCGTGCTATGATACATATTTTGATGAAAGCGAAAAATACGTAAGTTATTGTTAAGAGTTTCCAGTAAATTTCATTGTGATATTTTAATACTTACGTTACTTACTTACTTACGCCTGTTACCCCCATTAGAGGAGCATAGGCCGCCCACCAGTTTTCTCCAACCAACTCTGTCCTGGGCTTCTCTCTCCAGTTCTGTCCAATGTTTGTTCATTCTTCTCATATCTTTCTCTATTTCTCGGCGTAATGTGTAACTTGGCCTTCCTCTTTTCCTTTTGCCTTGAGGGTTCTATGTGAGGGCTTGTCTCGTGACGCAGTTAGATGCTTTCCTCAAACCGCTTCTTCCTGATTTCCTCCTCCACTGGATGAATCTGGTTTGTTCTCTCCCAGAGTTCGTCGTTGCTGATTGTGTCTGGCCAACGAATCCGAAGTATTTTGCGTAGACAACTGTTAATAAACACTTGTATCTTGTGGATGATGGCTTTGGTAGTTCTCCATGTTTCCGCTCCATTTTAATACTTAGTATAGCTATATGCATATATATCTATCTGTTATTGCTCTACACACTTGTATTGTTTGCTTTCCCGTTTCAGGTTTGTACATTTTTCCAATCTTCCAAATTGTTTAGCCAGTTGTCCAGTTTTCAAAGTATTTCCACATGATCTTCAAGGAGTAAGACTGATGTGTATAGTTTTATATTATTTCGTTGTATATATATGTACATGTTGAATATTGTCTGTGAATAGAGAGACAGAGTTAAGCCAGGTTTAGCTATGTGTTACGCATCGATGTAAACATGTCAATTTGATGTTGTTTGAACTATTACGAGTTTACACCTTAGTCGGAAAACGAGAGCGAGGATCGATGATCCGGTGATACGACAGGCTACTCTAATCCGATTGTCCCGACCCCCCCCCCGCCCCCTCATTGAGTGAAAATAAGAAGAAAACTTGATATGAAATAGAACATGTATTCTACAAGCATCCAGAAAGTACGAGGTCTGATTCCAGAAGAGAATTAGGACCACGGATTAGGGATCCGGGTCCGGGTCATAAAACGTTACACATAATCCGCATTCACACAGCTAAGTCGAATAGGCAACAACATTTGGAGTGACATTGATAGCTAGGACAACCATAGTATTGACCATTAAGATATTTGATGAATATCCTAACACTAAGTCAGTAACTTCAGTTTATAGACTTATGCTTAGACTTTCGAAAATGATAGTTAATCTTAGTTCAGTTGATGAATCTTCCATCGTTCATGCGGGCAAAGAAAAACATTGTATCTTAAGAATTGCTGGCGAATCACTCACTGTATGAGAATGTAATCAGACTATAAACAAGTGTAATTTTCCTGTTCATAAAAACATGGAGAGAAGGAACAGAATCATCATGATCAATCAGTTAGTCGGTCAATCAGCAATAACGTAGAACTTGGCATGTGTACGTATGTGCATCAGTTCAAGTTGTGTTATACCATATCAACACAGAGAAATGGAATGATCAGTTGAAATCCTATAAAGTAACAAATATTAGCGGTAATCAAAAAGATCCAAGGATCGAAGCGATGATTCGAGAAGTATGTATATAATCCAGAAATGTAAATGGTTATGAGGAAATGCGAAGATTAGAATTTGTGCGTGAGAAGACAAACAGTGAATGTGTCTGCGTCATTTTGCAAACGATTTTGCGCCATGTCATTTAAAGTCTCTAACCACCGGTTACTTATTGTCTTGCGCTCGTCAACCAGGTAGTCTACAGCGACTAACATGGCTCAGTTCAGATGTCAATGACTTCATAGATTTGTTCCATGTTTTTGGTTTGGCCGATCCCTAACTTTCTTCCAGTCTACCTTTACAACAACTCCGTGAATTTGATCAAGTTAGACATTAACACCGTTAGAGACCGGCTCAGTGGTGTAATGGTTAGGGCGTTTGCGCACAATACCGAAGGTCCTGGGTTTGAATCCTGCAGGGTGCAGGAGTCGTGGATGCGCACTGCTGAGGAGTCCCATACCAGGACGAAACGGCCCTAGTCCAGTGCTTCCAGGTTTCTAATGGTGGTCTAACATTGATCGATTCATGGTTTCAATTATTTGAATGTTGACATCAGGAACCGAATTTCAATCAATCTTTCCTCGAAAAAACTGTTCAACCTATAAGTTGTTATCTTATATTACTGACTAACAACTCATTAAGCGTGTGTTCAAAGCTAAAGTTATTATTAATTCACAATGTTTGAAGTAGGGCAATATGTGCACCAAAGCCAGAGTTATTAACTTACAGTTCACAATGTTGATGAAGTAGGGCAACATGTGCAATGAACTATGTGAAAATTTACTGTATATCAAAACCAACTGATTTTTTTCCCTATTCGAAATCATTTGAAATATTTGCTTCTAAATGCTACGCCATCTCTGAACTGTATCTGTTTTGTTTCCCCATTTCTTTCTTTCTTCCACATAGTACATTTTAAACTCTGAATTAGCTATCAAGAATTACTCACTATCACAACAAACTACATCGTCCTTGTCCAAGGTAGGTTTTCTTTGAGATGTTTTACCAAAATACTTTTTTCTCTTGAAAACATTGTTGTATCTTATGATGATGATTATTTTTTGAGCTCTGACTGGTGGGAATCCAACCCCGTATCGTGTGTGGGCAGTTACCTAACCTACCTACCGAAGACTGTCATAATGCTGCTACGTATAGCTATTCAAATCCGACCGATGTCCGAATTCATCAAATATTCCAATACGACCCAAATACTATTCCCAAATCTCCTATATAATATCAGAACGCAACACCGTTGAATGGAGTTGTTTATTGGGTCGAGTACAGAAGAGAGGAGGTAGGCAGGAAAAAACGGAAACGAAATCATGAAGTCTTACAGATAGTGCGTATTTATACATTGAGGTCTAATAGGAAAGAGCATCAAAGTCTGTGACATTGACAGTTTAGGGGACGACGACCAATAGGAAAGAACATTTGAAATGACATTGACAGTCCGAATGACTACCAATTGGAGACAACATTGAAGTATTTGACTTTGACAGTTAAAAAGAACATAATTTTGACCAATAGGATTATACTTCCAAAAATAATACTACTCTTAGGATATTTGGTGAATATCCTAACAAAGACAGTTGGTAAAGTTGCGCGCAGTACCTTGGAGTTGTGAGACATTAACACCGTTAAGTGCCCGTTCAATAGTCAACAGGTTAGGTGGTTCATACGCAAGACCGAATATTCTGAGGTCGATTCCCGACAGTGGGAGTCGTGGATGTGCACTACTGATGAGTCATATACGAGAGGAGAAACGATCGTCCAGTCAGTTGGAACGTAGAACTTCGTACGTATGTACATAAGTTCATGTTGCCATACCACATTAGCACACAGACTCAGATGTCAAATCAAATCCCATAGTGATAGTAAAGATAGTAGAGGTATTAATGGAAATGAAGAAGACTAGGGTTTGGAGATATTATTCAATATGTATAATTCAGTAAGATAAGGTTAGAAGACAAAGGTAGAGGTGTTGACTAATCCAGAAGATTAGGATTTGAGAGAGCACAATGAATGGATGCACCTGTAGTGCCATTGCAAACGATCTTGAGCCATGTCGTTCAAGGTCTCTAACCATTGATGACTTTCGTCTCGCGGACCCCAAACAGGTAGTCTGCATCTACCAACATGACTCAATCCACTAGTCAGTGACTTCATGGATTTCTGCCATGTTTTGGTCTGGCCGCCCCTTGCTTTCTTCCAACCTACTCCTACATCGTAAAACATAGCTCAACGAGACAGTCGGTGTTTAGCCATACGTAACACATGTCCCAACCACCTCAACTGATGAAGTTTCACTACTTCATCTATTGATTTGCCGTCCCTACCTAGAACTCGTTTCCTAACGACAGCATTGCTTACTCGGTTGTCCCAGGATATACGAGCAATGCTTCTTAAACATCTATGATCGAATGCTAGTAGTTACCTACGAACATCTTCTACTCTTAACGGCCATGTTTTACAGCCATATAGGAGAACGGAGCGAACTGCTGCGCAGTACACCCGTCCTTTGGTTAGCGAACGGATATCACGGTGGTTGGAAAAAGCCAATCGAGCTTTCTGTATCCGTGCTGAGATTTTGTTAGTTACCAGGCCCTCGGCACTGATGAGACTCCCGAGATAAGTGAACCAATCGTCCAATGCTCCCAGGTTTCTAATAGTAGTAGTAGCCTAACAATGATCGATTCATCATTTCAGCGAAACTCATTGATCTTCAAAACTGTATATTTTATTTTATATAATGACAGAACAATTTGTATTCTGATGAATTAATTAACTGTATGTATTTCTCTTATTGATTTTTTACGTAAAATCCACAGAATTTAACAACCACTGGGACTAGTAATGTGGGTGGTGGTACTTCGTCAAATCAACTAATAATGGCTTCCCAGCATTATCAACTTACTGATTCGCTGTTAACACCCTCAACTACTAGTTTACATTTAACTATGCCTAATTCTAACAACAACAACAACAACAACACTATTGTTGTTGGTGCCGGTGGTATTCCCACTACTACTACTACTACTACTGATACATCATCATCCTCATCCTCATCATCTGCATGCATCATTAAAGCACCTGATCCACCAGAAGAAAGTATATCAGATCGTGTTTATTTCTTATTTAATAATGTTTCCAAAGTGAATGCCAAAGAAAAATCAAATGAATTAGCTACGTTGTTATCAGAAGATCGTCTTTTACCATGGTTTGCTTTTTATCTTGTTAGTAAACGTATACCAGTGGAACAAACATTTCATGATTTATTTGCATTGGTACTTGATCATATACAAGAGAGAGTACCAAATGTCAGGCCGAAAGTTATGTTTGAACTGATACGACATATTAAGGTGAGTGAATGAATGAATGGCTGTGTGTTGTGCGTTGTGCGTTGTTACTACAGCTTTCTATAGCTTTCCCACTGATGTTTATGACTTCAACTGGTATATTTGCACACTGTGTGTCGATTATTACGATATTGCCAGTGGGATGATGAACCGGGTGTAGCATGGGCAGACTTATTATGATTAGGTGGCTGCTGTACCAAATGAATTTCAGATCGGCATGAACTATCGTTGAGTCTCGTTGTAGGTTAGTGAGACGTTGGTACAAATGAGCCATGTCATTAAGTGTAAGCTTCGGATCTTGCTCCAACTGACATAGTAGCCTTGTTCTAATATCACTGAACTTATGCGACTGGAGGCTGCAGACTTCAACCGAAAGCGTTCGCATTCACGGTTGACGATGCGTACATGCGTAAGAAAGTCATCATCTTCGTTCATAATTAGCTTCAAACATTGATATCGAGTATTAATTAAACAGTGACGAGTTATCGCCAAAGTGTTAGCTTAAAGTCTGAACAGTCTCAGAAAATGAACAATCTCGTGGGTTCAAAGGCAGCATCAAATTACAGTACTTATCCAGCTCACTTGCACCCAACTTTCGAAGTAGCAGCCGAATCTTCCAAGCATCATCTTGGTTGGAGAAATCAAATTTAAATAAATCTTCATAACGCCGGAACCACATGTCAAAAGTAAGATTTGCATTATGTTCATAATGAAATTCAGCTATGCTATTTGCGATGCTGTCGACCGATGGAGCTGTAGTTGCATTAGATGAGCTGGGCTGTGTGCCAACAAGCATTTATAAACAGAGGCTAATGGTTGTGATTAACAGTGGAGTCTAGAATGCACATTTTTTCTAACATTGTACGGTTACATAAATCGCAACATGTAACTTAAATCAGTGGATTAGTTAGGTGGAAAAAAGTCTCTAGAATAGCCAGTTACTTTTAAAGATAAATGATACTTGTACAATAAATTACCATATACTGACCCTTGATAGTACATTCTATTGTATTCCTCATGATTTTCTCTATTTCCTTATGATACTCTGGGTTTTTTTCAAAATTAAAACCATCCATCATCTTCCAACCTTTCAATCAACACCATTATTTTCCAGGTTCAAACTCCATTCTGTTAGTCTCTCTCTATTCAGAGATAGTCGATAGTATCATTGTTCAGTATAATTCTCTGCATTTAAGAAGTTTTTAAAGTGTTATCTCTGTTCTTTTTAAAAAACCTCACCCCCGGAGACAGAGGTGTGACCTTTTTTATGACCGACCTTTTCTAACCCCTTCCTTCGCTGTGAGAATGCGGCATCACTGCAGATGCTGGATGTTCGAGGGAAACACCTTACTGCTATCACACCTCTCTACAGTCAGTCAGCAGTACGATTTCGCCCTCAGACCTTAAGTAGCTGTTTCTAGTCTCATCGTTCTCCAATCGACTTGCCTGGCATGGTAGAACCTTCACGAACATATGTTCCAGTCAATCTAGCTCTGTTGAGTCATCACGATAGGCAAACCCGACCACCACATCCAGCTAGAGAAAAAGGCTAACTGAATTTTACTCAATGTGTATTCTCCTCTCTCGTTCAACCACATTAGTTGATACTCTCAAATACGCAACAAAAAAGTCCTTGTAGTCTCCTTAAAAAATGACTCACCTAATTTTCACTAGAACTAGTTATGTCCACATAATAAAATACGCCAACCTTTTTATTTACTGGTGTATGGCGGTTAACCATGATGCATTATCGATTATTCAACATTATTCTTTTTTGTGCTGATGATCTTTTCTGATGTTTATCATTTTTGTGATTGTTTTTTCTCTGTTTTTTTTTCAAGTTTATCTTGCGTAATATGCGTTTAGACAAAGATGATATGCAAGCAAGGAGTACATTGAAAAATTTTGGCAGTTTCCTTGGCCTGATCACTTTGGCACGTAATAAACCAGTTCTACATGATGATTTAAATATTAAAGATCTTATTTATGAAGCATATTATAAAGGACCAATTCCTATACAATATGTCGTTCCATTTGTTGCTCGTGTAGTACGTGGTGCTACAGAGAGTTTAGTATTTCGACCACCGAATCCATGGACAATGGCTATATTGAAAGTTTTACGTGAATTATATGATATGGACAATGTGAAAGATTGGTTACGTTTTGAAGTAAGTAGTAGATTAAATTGTCTCTATGAATCTTCTAAGTTTATTGTCTTTTTTATTATGTGGTTAGCGTTTTTTTAACGGAATGAGAGCGTTAACCGTCCTCCTTTAGCCAAGCTTGGAACTGGCAGCATTTGCAGAAAGGCTCCAGCCGGAGTTGCTGTTTAGAATTGGCATAATTTTTACTTGACTAATAAACTAGTTTACAAAAAAACTGGTGATTGGATCATTATAGTCATCACCAATAATTAATATGAGTCTTTCATGTTTGAAGTCCTCACCCATCTACCTGAGGGTTTGAGTTCTTGAATAGTAAGTGTAGCAGGATTTTCATAGGCTCGCCAACCTCATGCTCAACTGTCCTCTTTTATCTGGGCTTGAGATTGGCAATAGCTCCAAAGAGGTTCCAGGTGGAGATATAAATTGCTAAGTGGTAATACTCAATTCTTATAAACTTAAACAAAAAGTTATCCACGGAGATTAAATGCTCTCTTGCAAGACTGAATGTTTTGGGTTCGTTTCATGCGATTTGCGAGTGTTGTGAAGGCACACTGTTGATGACTCCAGGACGAAACGGCCTTCCAGTGTTTTCAGGTTTTGAATAATGATCTATTGTGATACAATTTCGTTCTCTGAGCTAGGGATGTTTTGGTTGTGGTGCTTATCGATTGTACTTCTGAACAACAACAGGATGTTATAAAGTTGGTAGGGGTTGTAGTAGTTTAGTGCTAAGAATTCAACAGTAATGTACTCAACTCATAATATGCTGATATTTGCAGATCTTTTAGTGTGTGTCTGTGTGTATCATTTGCCTTCCATTTTACTCTGCTGCACAGTACAAAATTATTATTGGTATACTAATAATAACATCCTTGTTAACAACGATTAAGTGTTATTAACCGTGAAAAAGTTGAGTTCAATGAGAGAGTGACATTACTTCAGCCGCCTACTCCTAAATAATAAATGTATGTAGTTTTTGTGTACTTTTCTCAAGAATTATTGATCTGTTTTTATGTCAACCATCTGTGCAATATAATTTTTGTGGGCTTGTTAGACTGTTTGTTATGTTTCATGGTATGATGATAATCAAGTACCTCACCTTGTTGTAGGTTAGGTTAATTAGGTTAGTTCAATTATTCTCGTATCCTTCTTTGCTGATGGATGATTCATGTGTTTGCACAATAATGTGGAAGAAAGTTAAGGGCGGCGAAACCAAAACATGGCACAAATCGATGAAGTCATATTGAAAAGTGGACTAAGTCATGTCGGTAGTTGTCAACTACCTGGTTGGGGTCCGCGAGATGATAATAATCGATTGTTAGAGACCCTGATTGACATGGCTCAAAATCGTTCGCAATGACGCCAGTGCATTTATTCTTTGTGTTCTCTCAAATCCTAATATTCTGGATTCTTCAACACCTCTAGTTTTGACTTTCTAAACTTATCTCGCTGAATCATACTTCTTGAATAATATCTTCTAATCCTAACCTCTTCGATTACTTCTAAAACTTTTACTACCTCTTCTACAATTGGATTTGAATTGACAATTACATCTCTGTGTGTGCCGATGTGGTATGGCAACATGAACTGATGTACTTACGTACAAAGTTCTACGATGCATCTGACTGACTGACCTTATAGGTATGAGTTTCTCCGACAGTGTGCACATCTCTGTTAGTCAGATGCAACGTAGAACTTCGTACATAAGTACATCAGTTTATGTTGCCATACCACATCAGCATGGTAGAACCTTGAGGAACATATGTTCTAGCCAATGTAGCTTGGTTGGTTCATCACAATAGGCAAGCCCGAACACCACGTCAATGTAGCAGCTAGCGGTCCGGGTATACATCTCTACAACCTCACTGTTGGTGATGTGAGGATACCCATGAACACTGCTAAATATATATATATATATATATATATATGACAACGTGATAATTCCTCATATTACTTTTTCTCTTCTATTATAGATTGAAATTCTTTATCGTGCATTCGATTTAAATCTTAACGATATCCCTTCGGCCAATTTTCTTCGTGATCCAACACATTCATCGAATTTAGACATTGAGCTGTGTTTTATTGCAACTTGTACAAGTACTATTACTACTGCAACGATTACTACTACAATTACTACTGTAACTGCAACTACTACTGCTACCAACATTGCATCGATCAGCGCACCTGTCATAACTAGCAACGATTCCGCATCACTCTATCCCGGTATTGGTTCTTGCTTCAGTACAACACCCGACTTTTCGCTGACAACAACAATGTCGGCTGCAACGACAACCATGACAACCTTTTCCGCTGGAGGTGCTGCTGCCGGCGCTCCAACCACTGGATCGTCTCAACAACAAAAACAATTATCCAATATGATTGCTTTATTTCAGAAACAACAACAGCAACAAGTCTCTGCGACCGATTCCATTTCGTCGCAACAACAATCTGTTTATTCGGTAAGTGTGTTCGTTTTTCAGCTGTTGTTGTGATGTGATGTGATGAGATCAGTCAGTTTTGTGTCTTTAGTCAATTAATTAATAAAATGATGCATTCTAATCTTGTAATTGTGTGTTGTATCTCGTTGACTGATAACATAGTAGTTCTATTTGCTGAAGGCGTTAATGAAGTTCTAGTCATCCATCCTAAGCAACAATACAAGTATGTTTGAGATGCGATTCTTCCCCCCCCCCGTATTGCGAAACGTTCTTTCAGGATTGACTTGATTAGTTTTTGGCCAACTTTCGTCATTTATGGTGTAAGGAAGATATCCGTCTACCAAACAAAGGGCGGGTTTATTGTGCAGAAGTTCACTCCGTCCTACTCAGTCAGTCAGTCAGTTGCAACGTAGAACTTCGTACGTATGTACATAAGTTCATGTTGCCATACCACATTATTAGCACAGAGACGCAAATGTCAAATCAAATCCCATACTCCGTCCTACTAAATGGGTATGAAACATGGCCATCAAGATTATAAGATATTCGTAGGTTACTAATATTAGACTATAGGTGTCTTCGAAGCATTGAGCATATACCCTAGGACAAACAAGTGAGCGAGTACTAGATGAGGATGTCAGATCAATAGTTGAAGTATTGAAGCTTCACTAGTTTAAGTGGTTGAACCATGTGTTACAAATGCTCAACCACGGACTGCTTCGATAAGCGATGTTTTATGGTGTATGAGTAGTCTGGAAGAAAGCTAGTGGCGGCCAAACCAAAACATGGCAGAAATCCATGAAGTTACTGACAAGTGGACTGACTGAGTCATGTTGGTAGATGTAGGCTATCTGGTTGGGGTCCGCGTGACGAAAGTCACTGATGGTTAAGAGACCTTGAGCGGTATGGCTCAGAATCGTTTGCAATGGCGCAGGTGCATCCATTGTTTGTGTTCTCTCTAATTCTAACCTTCTGAATTCCTCATCATCTATATCTTTCTCCTTCTAAATTTATCTCACTGAATTATACTTCTCGAATCATCTGTTCACTCCCTAATCTTCTCCATTACTGCCAGTACTTCTACTGTCGCTATCACTCTTGGATTTGAACTGACAGTTACGTCTCTGTGCTGACGTCGTGCTATGGCAACCTGAACTGATGTACTTATGTACGAAGTTCTTTGTTGTATCTGTCTGTCTGTCTGTCAAACATGTGTCTATTTCTTGTAATGAGCACATTAAAACTGCAGTTTTATTGACAATCCTAGCGAGTTTATAAATATCTTTAGTCCGATTCTAACATCGTCACATTGCTATTATATTACTAGATAAACTGCAACAAGTTGTTTACAGCTTTCTATCAGTACAAAGATCTGACTTACCTAATCTCGTTTCTCTCTCTATCTCTCTCTGTGTCCATCCGTTTTAGACACATGGTTTGGATATAGCCAATTTAGTGCAAAACTCCACAAGCGGTTCAAATAATTCAACTCGTCAAACAGCAGCTGCACTTGCTGCTGCTGTAGCTGCTATCAAAAAACAACAGCAACATCAACATCAACACCAGCAACAATTCGGTGGTGGTCCTCTTTCATCCATTGGCACTGGATCATTCTCATCGTCGTCGTCGTCTTCTTCGTCTGCCGCTGCCGCCGCGGCTGCTGCGGCTGCCTTATCTTTACAACAACATCAACAACAATTGAATGCTGCCATGGTCGCGTTTCAACAACAACAACAACATGCTCAACAACCACAATCTCAACAGCAGCATCAGCCGCAAGCGCAACCGCAAACACATCAACCGCAATCACTGCAAAATATTTTATCTGCTCATCACAGTCAAACTCATGTAACACAGCCGAGCAATATCACCGGTGGGGGATTAAGTAAGTTTTGTTTTGTTCACGATATTTTAAAATTGCGGGGGCGGCCAAACTAAAATATGGCATAAATTCATGAAGTAGTCACTACTGACAGCAGGTGGACTGAGCCATATTGTTGTTATAGTAGGGTTAGACCGCGTATGGTGTTAGGGTCCGTGAGATGATTGTAGTAATCGATGGTTTGAGACCTTGAGCACACAGCATTGCTCAAAATCGTTTGCAGTGGCGCAGATGCATTCATTCTTTGTACTCTCTGAAGTCCTAACCTTCGTAGTTCCTCATCATCTTTTTCTTTTTGAGTTTATTTCACCTAGATTCTTCGAACCTTAATCTCTACGATTACAACTAATACGTCTACTACCTCTACTATTATGAGATTTGAATTGACAATTGCATCTCTGTACTGATGCGGTATAGCAACTTGAACTGATGAACGTACATCCGAACGTTTGAATTTCTACGTTGTGACTGACTGACTGACCTTGACCAAACAGCACAAATTAACACAACGAAGCTAAGCTATTCTTTTGCTCCCTAGCCCAACTGACCAAAGAAGTCCTAGAGTCCACAGGAAGATTGTGTCATCTATAAGCATTTCTGTGTTATCTTTTTCATTCAAACTGATTAATATGTCCGCTGTCGGAAAAATTCAATGCCAAGAAGAATTTCTTCTATATATTCTGATACTCTTGTATGTATTGGGTCACATTAATTTAGTTGGGGGGGGGGTGGTAGGTTAAGGCATGAAGTCTCATGTTCTAGTTCACTTGAAGTGAGAAGCTAATATCCGTTAGTTATCCATACGTCAGAGTTTTATTCAAAATTAAGTAGTAACCTAGTTAGTAGTATACGTTTCGTGAACTCGCATCGTTTACATTATCTGTGCAGGAAAGTGAGAAGAGTTAGTCGTGGAGAGAAGAGAGATATTAGGGAGTGTAAGAAGTATTTGATTATGACCGATTTGGTCTCGTGTGCTGTTACGGGTATGACGGCGGTTGTCACTTCCCGGCTGCCCTCACCGTGAGTAGGAAGGTAGATTACTGTTGGTCTTAGAGACCTGGGAGGGTGACCGCAGAGCCCAAAGGATAAATGCTTGAGGCTGATCACGCACGACCTTTCTATGACAGGATTTTTGGGTATTAGCTCCGCTCTTAAAGGTCCTTAGTGGGCATCCTTACCGCCGGAGACGTAAATTCGTAACGTAAGGTGAGGTGTGAACTTTCTTAGGGTCGACCTTACCTAACCCCTTCCTTCCTTGTGAGAAGGCAGCATCGCTGTAGATGCTGGTTGTCCGAGGGAAATACCTTACTGCTGTCACACCCCTCTACAGTCAGTCAGCCGTACGATTTTCGCCCTAACACCTTGAGTAGCTGCTTTTAGTCTCATCGTTATCCAATTGACCTGCCTTGCATAGTAGAACCTACAGGAACATGTTTCAGCCAATATATCTCGGTTGGGTCATCGCAATAGGCAAGCCCAACCAACACCACATCAAGGTACCAGCTTCGGTCGGGTAGTGTAGTATACAAGGTTAATGAATTTGCAAGAAAGTCTTTCACTGTTTGTTCAATTATGTAAATTTCCTTTCTTCCATTTTTTCTATCTCATTCTCACAAAATATAGATGGTGATTTAACTGCTAATGCTGGCGGCGGTGCATTATTTACTGGACATTTATTACGTTATGAAGATGTCACTATACGTAGTATACGTGCATGTTTAAATCTTGACGAATTATTATTCACTAATGCTGCAATCAATAGCCGTAATGGTAATACTAATTCTAGTGGAATTACAGCGGCATTCGCATTGCTTCAATCAAATCCACGACTACGTAGTTTAATCGAACCAGCGGTACTACGTGCAATCAATGAATTAACGACACCTGTATTTGAACGTTGTGCACGTATCACTGTGACTACAGTGGTAGCTATTGTACGTAAAGATTTCGCACTGGATCCCGATCCTTCACGTATGTTATATGCTGCGTGTCAAATGATACGACATCTTGCCGCTGGTATGTCATTAATCACTGCCAGAGAAGCGTTAGGCATGTCACTTGTGACCAGTTTGAAAAATATCATCCTTGCTGAAATTCAATCGGTGTCAACGAATACTCCAACGACAACTACAACACCCGGCGCTACTGCTACTACTACTACTATTACTAGTCAAGAGAAAGAAGCTGTTCAACAGTTGGCTTATTTAGTTGTTGGTAAAAGTATGCATGTTTGTTTGGCGTATATGCAAAAATCCGTAGCAGAAAAAGCTGTAAAAGATGTTGAAAAGAAATTAGAACCAGATATTAAACTGCGCACAGAACTAGGTCCAATACGTTTTATGGAACAAGCTGTCAATCAATTGACATTACAACAATCCAATATGCCTGAATCATTACGTCTTACAGTAAGTTACTGCTGCTACTTACTATCATTACTATTATTATTATTATTATTATTATTATTATTATTATTATTATTATTCAGTCAGTCAGTCAGTTGCAACGTAGAACTACGTACGTATGTACATAAGTTCATGTTGCCATACCACCACATTAGCACAGAGACGCAGATGTCAAATCAAATCCCATAGTGATAGTAGAGATAGTAGAGGTATTAATGGTAATGAAGAAGACTAGGGTTCGAAGATATTATTCAAGAAGTATAACTCAGTGAGATAAGGTTAGAAAGAGAAAGGTAGAGGCGTTGACGAATCCAGAAGATTAGGATTTGAGAGAACACAATGAATGGATGCACCTGTAGTACCATTGCAAACGATTTTGAGCCATGCCATTCAAGGTCTCTAACCATCGATCACCTTCGTCTCGTGGACATCAATCAGACAGTCTACACATACTAACATGGCTCAGTCTACTTGTCAGTGACTTCATGGATTTCTGTCATGTTTTGTTTTGGCCGCCCCGAACTTTCTTCCAACCTATTCCTGCACTACAAAACATAGCTCGTCGCGGTTGTCGTTGGTTAGGCATACGCGACACATGTCCCAACCACCTCAATTGATGAAGTTTCACCACTTCATCTATTCATCTGCCATCCTTACCTAGTACTCGTTTCCTAACGACAGCATTGCTTACTCGGTTGTCCCACGATATACGAGCAATGCTTCTTAAACATCTATGATCGAATACTAGTCACCTACGAACATCTACTCTTAACGGCCATGTTTCACAGCCATAAATTAAGACGGAGCGAACCGCTGCACAGTACACCCGTCCTTTGGTTAGCGAACGGATATCACGCCTACGCCATAAGTGACGCAGGTTGGCAAAAGCCAGTCGAGCTTTCTGTATCCGTGCTGAGATTTCGTCAGTCACCAGGCTATCAGCTATTATTATTATTATTTTTATTGTTCTTGTAAACACCTCTAGCCCGGTGGTCCAACTCCAACAGAAATGTCAGTCTATGAAGAATTCGGACGTGTTATTCCTGGTTTCGCACCAAGTACAACTGGACCAATGATGAATAATAATACACCTACATCGTCGTTTCTACTCCCTGGTACAGTGCAAAATTTGTCTTCATCAGCGGCAGCTGTAGCGGCCTCATCATCATCATCTTCTATGGCTGCTTATCTTCAACAACAAAAACACCAACAACAGCAACTTGTTCATCAACGACATACTACACCTACTACACCTAGTACTACTGCTAATGTTGCTGTATGTCCAACTACTGGTTCGTTTATGAAATCACAAAATTATCTAACTGGAACTAATAATCCTAGTCAACAACCAACTCCAGCTAATTTTCAAGTAAGTTTCACATTGTCAATCTACCTGTCTCTATTTTGAATCCTTGTTTTTAACTTCAGTCAGTCAGTTAGTCAGATGCAACGTGGAACTTCGTACGTAAGTACATCAGTTCATGTTGCCATACGACATTAGAACACACAGAGATATAATTGTCAATTCAAATCCCATAATAGTAGTAGAGGTAGGTAAGGTATTAGCGGTAATCGGAGAGGTTAAGATTAGAAGATATTGAAGAAATGTGATTCAGTGAGAAAAGTTTAGAAAGACAAAACTAGAGATGTTGAAGAATCCAGAAGATTAGGATTTGAGAGGACGCAAAGAATAAATGCACCTGAGCCATTGCCAATGATTTTGGGCAATGTCGTTCAAGGTCTCTAACCATCGATTATTATCATCTCGCGGACCCCAAACAGGTAGTCGACAACTACGGACATGACTCAGTCCACTTGTCAATGACTTCGTGGATTTCTGCCATGTTTTGGTTTGGCCGCATCTAGCTTTCGTCCAACCTATTCCTACACTACAAAACAAAGCTCATCGTTTGTTAGACATACGCAACACATGTCCCAACCATCTCAACTGATGAAGTTTCATAACTTCATCAATTTATCTGCCATTCTTACCTAGCACCCGATTCCTAATCACGGCGTTGCTCACTCGTATGTCCCAGGATATATGAGCAATGATCGAAAACCAGTAACCTACGAATATCTTCTACTCTCACTGGCCATGTTTCACAGTCATAAATTAAGACGGATCGAACTGATGCACAGTACAGTCGTCGTTTATTCAGCAAAAATGGATATCTCGCCTACGCCATAAGTGACGCAGGTTGGCAAAAGCCAATCTACCCTTCTGTATCCGTACTGAGATTTCGTCAGTCACCAGGCCATCCACACTGTTCTCAACTTAGGATGATTGAATGCTTTTATTCGGTCCGTAATTCGATATAAATTAGTGTATACGTTTGGATACAGTCCGTTTGTACAAACCATAAGTCAGGTGGTATAATTTTTATACGAGAGCTTTATCTGAGCCTTTGCAACGCAATCCTATCGTACCTGGTGACCAAGAACCGATTTTTACCCGATTGGTTCCTAGAGCTCGTATGCACGATTGGTTAGGGATCAGAGTTTCCCAACTACCCTAGGTGTGTGGATTCTCTGTAACCACTAACTCAATTTAGTGTACAATATCCTTGTTATGAAAGGAAGGGCATTGAATCGGACTTCCTGTGACAGTGGCTATACCCATATGGACATGCGTCAGCGTTTTGGAGAGAAAGCGGACTCTCTCACCTCTCGGTCATACCAAAGCATTTGGGGAGTTCACTGTAATACATCTTGTTTAATAATTAAGAAATGACTTGTTGAATCTTGCACTGTATACACGTCCTCTGTTTAATATGTGTTGAATAGTATGTGTTACATTTTAAACAGTGAATAAGTTTCATGTTTTAGTGTAATATGCTCATAATATTCTCTCTCATATCTCTTTTGTACTAGGCACCATTATCTGGTTTATTCGATAAAATAATTGGACAAATTGAACGTCATTTAATCGCTATCTCTGGTCGTTTACGTCCTATCAATGATCCAATGTGTCAATCATTACGTTGTTTAATTGATACAGTACATTTAGCTAAAACAAATCGTGATACAATGGTTGCTAGTAATAATATTATTACAATGATGGTACAAAGTTTTTTGGAACATTATCGACCAAGTGTATGGCGTGATCAACCACGTGGTCTAGAAACAATGGAACATTTAAAAGAGGCACACCTGCTTACACTACGTCATATGTTATCACTGGAACAAGCTCCATTTGGTTATGCATGGGTTACGCGTCAAGTAAGTTTGTGTGTTTAGTAAACTAACTAATCTATGCGCCTTCATGTGTGATATCAGCTCTTCTTGATTCTCATTCTATCTGTCTATTTTATTTGTACAGGTGACGCATACATGGATTCATTTAGACGGTGGAAGTTGTTCCAGTGGTAGTGGCATCAATATCACATCGTTATCTTCATCAACATCATCAAACAACAACAACAACCCTAGTGGAACTGTTACTGTTGATAATTTACAAAGTCAAGAATCTGATTTAAGCATTAATTCCACTGAGACGAATCATAATAATAATAATAATGCTTCATCGCTTGATGATATGTTGTTAGACAATAGTGTTTCTAATACTTGGACTACAGGAGCTACTACTACTGGTGGTGGTGGTTGGAAACAAGTAGGTTTCTTTTTTTTTTCATATCGTATTTCCAATTCTCAAGAGCTAAACTTGTTTCTTATCGTTCTGAAAAAAATCTCTATGCTTTGGAACACATGTTTGGCATTGTATTACTTACTATTAAGATTTTGACTAATTTGGTCCCTCGTGTGCTGTTACGGGTATGAGGGCGGTTGTCATTTCCCGGCTGCCCACATTGTGGAAGGGTGTTTCTTGAGGGACCTGTAAAGGAAGGTAGATTAGTGTTGGTTTTAGAGACCTGGGGGCGTGACCTCAGAGCCTAAGGGACAACTGCTTGAGGCCGGTCACTCACGGCCTTTTTATGAAGGGTTTTTTTGAGTGTTAGCTCCGCTCATTTCGAAAGCCCTTAGTGGGCACCCTTACCGCCGGAGACGGAAATCCGTGAGGTGTGACATTTTTAGGGTCGAACTTTTCTAACCCATTCCTTCCTTGGGCGAAGGCAGCATCGCTGGTTGTCCGAGGGAAAATACCTTACTGTTGTCACACCCCTCTGCAGTCAGCAGTACGACTTCGCCCTCAGACTTTGAGTAGCTGCTTTTAATCTCATCGTTCTCCAGTTGACCTGCCTGGCATGGTAGGACCTGCAGGAACATATGTTCCAGCGAATATAGCTCGGTTGGGTGATCACGATAGGCAAGCCCAACCAACACCACGTCAAGGTAACAGCTAAACTTATCTCACTGAATTATACTTTTCGAATTATATCTTCGCTCCCTAATCTTCTCCATTGCTGTTAATAATTCTACTATCGCTATCACTCTCTTGGATTTGAACTGACAGTTACGTTTCTCTGTTGACGTGGTACGGCAACCTGAACTGATGTAATTATGTACGAAGTTCTGTGTTGTATCTGTCTGTTTGTCTTGTCAAATGCTTTGAAGATACCATTAATCAAGAACCTTCAGTTTATTCGTATCTTTTTAATTTCATAGACCTTGTTTCAAAGTTATGAAATAGAATAGAGCGATCTTAGTGGTGCATAGTGTTTTTTATATGCCTTCAATTGACCAACTGACATCTCTCCCTCCTTCATAGATAACTCAAATTAATAATAAATACCATCTGAGATTTTATCGGACTTCCAAAATAAGTGAAAAGTGATCAACACACACACACATATACTCAACTACTTACTGCTGAACATGAATGTAAGCGGTTAACGTTAAGCAAACATTTTTCATTTGATGAAAGCGAAGCAACATATTGTCAAACACTCTAAAACTGTTACTTCTCAATCCAATCAAAATAATCGCATATGTTATCACCATCTTCACAAAGTGAACTTCCTGAGTATTCGTTCTCGAAAGATGAGATATCTCATGACCCCCCAGACTATCTACTTGATCTTAACAATAACAGTCCACATGATAGTTTATCATCAATTCGGACTCAAGTAATTAATATTTCTGAAATACAACTATGTCTCTTCAGTCAGTTAAATACAACACAGAGCTTTGTACGTACGTACATCAGTTCCAGTTGCCATACCGTATTAGCACAGAGACGCGCGAATGTCAGTTTGAATCGCATAGTGGTAGTGATAGTAGGAGTATTACTGGTAGTGCAGAAAATTAGGGTTCGAAGTATAGTTCAATGAGATAACTTGAGAAAGAGATGATGAGTAATTCAGAAGATTAGAATTTAAGAGAACACAAACAGTGGGTACACTGGTCTCAATCTTGAGTGGTCATAAATGGAGAAATACTTCACTTCTATCTACCTGAAGTTTGTGCTGCTGATGTTGTTCATAAGGAGAACAGACAGACATAACGCAGAACTTCACTTCAGGTTAAAATACTACATCAGCACAGAGGCGCAACTGTCAGTTCAAATCCAAGAGCGATAGTGATAGTAGAAGTATGAACAGTAATCGAGAAGGTTAGGGTTCGAAGATATGATTCCAGAAGTATAATTCAGTGACATAAATTTAGAAAGATAGAGATGATGAGTAATTCAGAAGATTAGAATTTGACAGAACACAAACAGTGGGTGCACCTGCACCGTTGCATCTGATTTATGAGCCATATCATTCAATGTCTGTAACGATCGGTGACTTTCGTCTCGCTGAAGTATAATTCAGTGAGACAACTCTGGAAAGAGAAAGATTACAGGTGATGAGGTGAATAGGGATGCACTGTCTCTCTTACTACCACCCACTCTCTTTCTCTACAAACTTCAGTTAAATGAATTTTCTCTATATCTCAATCATTTTCAATCAAATTCTTGATAAATTAAATTGTCATAACGTTTTTTCTCTCTGTGTGTGTTTCATTTGTTTAGTTTAATGAAACAAATAACAATTCAATTTCATCTATTCATCAACATCATCATCACCATCATCATGATCATCATCATCAACAACGTCTTGTTTCAATTAAATGGAATTGGGAAGCATTTGCTGAATTATTACGTGTACATGTGATTTATTTTTCACAGGTAAATTTTATGTCCTCCTTCCCCCGCCCCCGCCCCGCCTCGTTCTTTCTGTTTTAATTCATTTATCGATTAAAATTTGTATGATAGAGTTGTAGAGATGGTTGTGTAGTCAATCGATCCTGTTACTGGACGACTACTCATCAGCAGTACCTCCCTGTCATACAATTTATCATGTGCTCACTAGTGACTCATTCTGTGAGGAAGTTACTCCAAGTTGTGGTGAGAAGTAATTCATGACCAGTAGAGAGAGTTCAACTCTGTTCAAGTGTGAAGCATTCATTACTCACCGAAGACAGTGGACTGATCGAAGTTAGACGTTATCACCGTTAAATGCCGGCTCAGTAGTCTAAAAGGTAAACGTTCGCAGGTCCGAAGGTCCTATGAGTTGTGGCTACGCAGTGCTGATGAAGAAGTAAGTCATAGCCAGTTCGAGTGTGAATTGATCGAAACTAGACGTTAACACCATTAGAAACCGGCTTACTTGTCCTGAGGGGTTAGATGTATCTCTAGGAGTTGTAGATACGCAGTGCTGATGAGTCCTGGTACTGGAGTACTCATCAGCAGTAACTTCCGTGAGGAAGTTACACCAAGTTGTAGTGAGAAGTAAGTCATGACCAGTAGAGAGAGTTCAACTACGTTCAAGTGCAAAGCATTCATTACTCACCGAAGACAGTGGATTGATCGAAGTTAGACGTTATGACCGTTCAATGTCGGCTCAGTGGTCTAAAAGGTAAACGTTCGCACTCAAGCCCCGAAGGTCTTAAGAGTTGTGGATACTCACTGCTGATGAATCATGGTACGAGACTACTCATCAGCGGTAACTTAACAAATCAACACAACCTTATCATACAAATTATCATGTGCTCACTAGTGACTAATTCCATGAGGAATTTACTCCGAGCTGTAGTGAGAAGTTAGTCATGACCAGTTAGAGTCCTACCCTGTTCGAGTGTGAATTAATCGAAACGAGACATATGAACACTATTAGAAACCGGCTCACTGGTCCAGAGTGGTTAGACGGTATCTCTAGGAGTTGTGGATACGCACAGCTGATGAGTCCCCTACCCAGGACGAAACGGTCGTCAAGAGCATCCAGACTTACTTATTCAATGATTGATTGATTGTATTCATATAAAATAATGACCATTATTCGTCTCTTTGTTATTTTTTCTGCCCTAAAGATTGATACTTATTTAGCTCAAGAAGTAGGCAAAGGTCATCCTGGTGCAATTATTTTTGTGATTGATCTGTTAGATCATTTTGTATTACCTTGTCCTAATGGTACATCATTAGGTGCAGCAGCAGCTGCCGCGGCCAATTATGCTCGTGCTAGCGCATCGGCATCTGCTTCATCAACATCATCATCGGCAACAGCAGCAGCATCAGCATCATCACAATCTGCAGCCAATTCCGGCGCATCATCCGGTGTGAATGTCAACTATCCTTCAACAATCAATGGTGGTGTCGGTGTCGGTGTAATGAATCCGGTAACATTTTCAACTAAACGTGAATTTACCATATTAAATGAATATGATTTATGGTCAACATTAGAAGCGTTAAGAAATCGTGTCACCTATTTGAATAATATCAATGCATCGTCTGCGACATCAACATCAACAACCACCACATCGTCATCGTCAGCATCAGCGTCATCATTGCTCACAGATCCATTGAATTTACGATTACGTTTAGCTTGTGCACGTATACGTGGTTTGTTGGATTTAGGTTTAATGGAACATTCACCGCTGTTTACTAATCCATCATATACTATTGGCGCTTTGTATGCAGGATGTAGTCAAGCACATGAATTTGATGATCCACCTAATTTACAAGTGAGTCACTAACTCTGTGTCTCTGTGCATGTGTGTAGTGTTTTGAAGCAGATGGTAGTGAGTTCTGAGTCGGTCTAATTGATGCAAGTACTTCCAACTGACTACTACTGACTAGTTCCAAATAGAATGAAATGCTCATTCTGAAGAATTCCACTGTTTATCAAATATGTACATACATACGTACGTATTTGATCATAGATATCTTAGAAGCATTGCTGGTGTGTCGTACGACAACCAAGTAGGCAATACTGTTGTTAGGAAACGAGTACTAGGTAGGGATGGCAAGTCAACAGATGAAGTAGTGAAACCTCATCAGTTAAGGTGTTTGGAACATGTGTTACGAATGCGCAGCCACCAACTGCCTCGAAGAGCTTTGTTTTGTAGTTTAGGAAAAGGTTGGAAGAAAGCTAGGGGCGGCCAGACCAAAACATGGCACAAATCCATGAAGTCATTAACAAGTGGACTTAGCCATGTCGGTAATTGTCGACTACCTGGTTGGGGTCCGTTAGATGATAATAATCGATGATTAGAGACCTTGAACGACATGGCTCAAAACCGTTTGCAATTGCGCCGGTGCATTTATTCTTTGTGTTCTCTCAAATCCTAATCTTCTGGATTCGTCAACACCTCTAGTTTTGACTTTCTAAACTTTCCTCATTGATTTATACTTATTGAATAATATCTTGTAATCCTAACCTCTCCGATTACTTCTAATACCTTTACTACCTCTACTGCTATTGGATTTGAATTGACAATTATATCTATGTGTGCTGATGTGGTACGGCAACATGAACTGATGTACTTACGTACAAAGTTCTACGTTGCATCTGACTGATTGACTCTACAGGTAATAATCCTAGTGTGGCCAGACCAACACATGGCACAAATCCATGAAGTCTCACTGACAAGTGGACTGAGTCATGTTGGTAGGCTACCTGGTGGGGTCCGTGCGACGAGAGTCACCGATGGTTAGAGACCTTGAATCACATGGCTTAAAATCGTTTGCAATCGCGTAGGTGCAAATCTGGATTCGTCAACGCCTAAACTTTTGTCTGTTTCTAAACTTATCTCACTGAATTATACCTACGTACACGAAGTTCTACGTTGTAACTGACTGACTGACTGACTGATTGATTCTATGTAGATATGTGAATTTTGGTTTCGTTTACCTCTTTGTGAGTAAATTTTTATAATTTAAACTAAAAAAGATTACTTGTTTATCTGATATATATAAATATATATTTATTTTCAATAGGAAAAAGTTGAATTAATCATGCGTAATTGGGTAGAAATTTATCAAAGTCCTAAACAACGTGATCCAGCTACAATCGATGCGTTGATTAGTCAACTTACACAAATTGGTGTTTTACCAAATATTCATAATTCCACACGATTTTTACGTTTAGCTACAATTTTTGTGATTGAACGTGCATTGAAACAGCTGAAATTGGAAGAGCAACAGCAGCAGCAACAACCGCAGATTCCTAACGGAGGAGGCGGTAATGGTGTTGGTGTTAATCCAGGAAATGGTGGATCCAGTTTCAATTCATCGAATCCAGCAATTAATCGTGTTGCGGCTTACGTTGAATTAGATGCTTATGCTCGTTTAGTGAGTATATTGATTAATCAATTAAGTGATAGTAGCCCCTCCTCATCTCAAGGTGATCATGTGAATGCTAAAGTAAGTATTTGTTTCTGGTTTTGCAACAGTTTCAATGTTTCTCTGTTTTGCCTACATGTAAACATGTCAACTTGATATATACTTACTTGAACTATTACGAGTTTATCCCTTAGTCGGAAACGCGAATGCGAGGATTGAGGATCTGGTGACACGACACGACATGCTATTCAAATCCGATTATCCTAACCCCCAATATTGAGTAAAAATAAGACAAGACTTGAATGTGAAGTAGAACCTGTAATCTACAAGTATCCAGAAAGTACGCGGTCCGAATCCAGAAGAGAATCAGGATCCGGGACCGGTTCCTGGTCCTGGTCGTAGTCATAAAACGTTACAGATAATGCGTATTGATACATTTTGGTCGAATAGGAAACAGCATCGAGGTGTGTGACATTGACAGTTAAGACGACCACTAGGAAGCAACATTTGAAGCGACATTGATAGTCAGGACAACCATAAAATTGACCAATAATTCTCTTAGGATATTGGATGAATATCCTAACACTTACTCCCACTTGTTACTCTTAATGCACAGCCTTGGCCGCTGACTAGCACTCGACATCCTACTCTGTGTGTTGGGTTTTTTTTCTAAAGAGGCATCGTCGACCTTGCGACTTTTAACTTCATCACGAGGCGGCTTCATAACTCTTCTAGATGACAGGGACCTTCCGATCTCCAGAGCAGAGTTGAAATAGTTTGAATTATTTTTTTCTGATGAGCGCTTTTTTTAACGAATTGGTTTTTTACGGCATGGTGTCGCTAACCCCTACGCTTAACCCTGATTTGAGACCGGCAAAGAACTCCAGAAGGATTCCAGTTGGAGTTAACAAAACTGATTAACCCATGCACTGAAATCATAATCAATAGTGATCGTAGTAGTTTCATAGTTTCATACTTGTTTGTTGTAAATCGTAAAGCAGAGAATAAGCGAGCAGTGCCTGGTGCTTTGTACATTTGAATTGTAGTTGAATAGTAGCCACTCATAAGACTTAAATCCTTGCCCGCCCCCTAAGAATTTGTGGAGAGTCATCCAATAGGATAAACACAATATCTGTCTGTTTATCAGGTAAGTTGATTATCATGCTGATCTTAATTGAGTCTTCCACATTTTGTTCTACTGAAGTGTTTTTGTTCACTTTACAGGTAACATTGTTAAACAAAGTTCTTGGACTTATCGCTGGTACATTACTTCAAGAACATGAAGTACGACGTGATCTATTTCATCCTATGCCATTTGAACGTTTACTTGTGATTCTATTTGTTGAATTACAATCTCCACTATCATTACCACCTCCTTCTACAGTACAATTCGCGACTACTACTGTAGGCGGTTCACCACGATCAGATAACAACAACAATACTACTACAGATGAAGGATGTGTAGAGAATATTATCAATTCAGATATGCATCAACCTAATGAATCTGAAAAAATGTGTACAAATAATAAACAAACTGATCCAAGCGTTGGCGGTGCTAGTGGCGGCGCTGCTGTTGGCGAACCTCGAATCTCTTCTGTTACATCATCAATCAAATCATCATTAGGTCCATTAACTTTACAACAACAACTCCCTTTGATCTTTTGTCATCTATTGCATTGTTTACGACCAGAAAAAGCAACTGCATTTGTATTTTCATGGTTAGAAATGTTAGCACATCGTTGGTTTGTTGGACGTATTCTATCAGCACCAGGACCAGCAAAACTTCGTACAGCTTATCAAGCAATGTATGCACAATTGCTAACAGATTTATTAAAATTTCTTGGTTATTTTCTACAAAATGCACTTATGCCAAAACCAATTCAATGTTTATATAAAGCAACGCTGAGACTATTGCTAGTGTTAATTCATGATTTTCCTGAATTTGTCTCGGATTATTATGCATTATTTTGTGATGTTGTTCCATCGAATTCAATTCAAATGCGTAATATCATATTGTCAGCATTGCCTAAACGTGGTATCCCTTCAGCGGATCCATTACAAGCTCCTCCAGTTGATCAATTAGCTTCATTAGAAGATCCTACTGGTTATTGTATGGAAGCTGGTTCACGATTGCCGGAACCAATGCGTTGTGAACTTGACGCGTATTTAACTACTCGTGCACCAGTGAAACTACTCAGTGAATTAGTAACAATGTTACGACGTGCAGATGATATTATTCCACCGATTCCTCCACCGGCCCAATTCGCCTATCATTCACAACAACAAGCTAGACATCAACAAGCGTTGGCAGCGTACGCTGTTGCTTTAGCTGCTAATGATGTTGCTACCGGTTCATCATCATCGGTTAAAATGGACGAAAAGTTAAATGAAGATCATTTACCACCGAGTTCCACTTCTTCTTCTTCTACACAAGTTGTAAATAATAAAACATCAGGAAAAAGTGGGACTACAGTAGCAGAGTCTTGGGAGAATACTACTACTGGAACCAACAGTTCGACATCTTCAGCAGCTGCAGCTGCAGCAGTTTCGGACAATAATAGTAATGACCTATCATCCTCATCAACATCGTCTGGTGCTGCCGCCGCCATGTCTTCACGAACAACAACACTTAGTGTATCGAATTCTATGATGAATGGTGGTGGTAGTTCAAGTGCTGCTGCATTTGCTGCATTATTATGGGGTGTACGTGCTACACAACAATTAGCTACATTTGGTTTAACTGATAGTATGCATTATAATATTGAATTAATGACAAATTTAACATTGTACGTATGTATTACAGCTATACGTAATTTACGTGAAAAAGGTATGCCATTAAATATGAGCACTATAGCGCATACACCACAAATGGATATTATACAAAGTTTAGTATTAAATCTTGATAATGAAGGTAGGTCTCTCTTTCTCTTTGTGTGTGCATGTGTGTGTGTGTTGATTTTTTCACAGAGTTAATTATTACTCTATTTCCCGGTACTTGTTTGTAGACAGACCTCACATCATCAGTTCGACTGTTCACCGATTAGAAATGGTTGAGATATGTAGAAATGATGCTCAACAACAATAACTACTACCCACCACCGCAGTCACCGCTGCCTCCTACTTCGATATGCAATATTGTATATTTAGGAATAAGTTGAAAGAAATTATTTAAACCAACCAACCACACAGGAATAATATGCCCAACTGTATGTAATTAGTAGTTGTAGGTGTATGTATTTAGTGATTTGACTTGCAAATAAATAATCACAGGCATGATGGAGATGCATTCACTCTTTGAGTTCCCTTCATGTCCTGGTATGGGACTACTTATCAGTGTGAGTGCGCATCCACGACTCTTGCCATTCGCTGGATTCGAACCTGGGACCTTCGGTCTAGCGCGCGAGCGCCTAACTTCTGGATCCGGCATGCAACAGTGTGTGTTGTTCCTTTGAAATTACGAATAAACTTTATTCATTCATGATTTCCATCTGTAAACAACAATGATCTCCATAATACTACTGTCTTTAGCTCAAAATCAAAGGAAAATAATGTGCTCACAAGTGAGTAGTAGCTTCATGAGGAAATTCTTCGGAGTTCTAGTGTGACCAATGTGGTTCAACCCTGTTTGAGTATAAGCAATAACCCCAAATACCGACTAGAATGGGTGAGGTGGCGCAAAATCAGAGTTCGACATCAACACCGTTCAATGACATCTCAGTGGTCCAGAGGTTAAAGCGTCAGCGCGATAGACTAAATGTCCTGGCTTAGAATTCTATTTGAGTAGCAGGAGTCATGGATGCTTACGGCTGATGAGTGTAATCTCATACAGTTGATTATCATCATCGTGTTTCTTAGAGTCAGCCATACTGTCATTCGGAAACGGGTGCTAGGTTAGGATGGCAGGCCAATAGATGAAGTATTGCAGCTTCATCAGTTGAGGTGGTTGGAACATGTGTGTTACGTTTACCTTAACCACCGACTCTGCCTCATCGAGCTATGTTTTGCGATGTAGGGGAATAGGTTAGAAGAAAGCTTAGGGGGCGGTCAAACCAAAATCTATGAAGTCGCTGACAGGTGGTGGACTGAGTCATGTTGTTAGTAGGGTTAGACCGCGACAATAATCGACGGTTAGAGACCTTGGGCACACGGCATTGCTCTAAACCGTTTGCAATGGCGCAGGTGTATTCATTTACCTCAGTGAATTATACTTTTTGAATAACAACATCGAACTCTAATCTCTCCGATTACTGCTTATACTTCTGCTACCTCTAACACTATGACATTTGAATTGACAATTACATTTCTGTACGTACATACGCGCGTACGAAGTTCCGCGTTGCTGTTAATTTATTGACTGATTGATTAATTGATCAATCATGTTTCATAAACAAGTGTAATTTGATTTTGCTTTTGTTTTTCCTTCCCCCCCCCCCCGCCAACTCCTTCTTCCTCCTCCTCCTCCGCCCACTCCTTCTTCATATTAGGTCGTTATTTATTATTGAATTGTATGGCCAATCAATTGCGTTATCCAAATTCACATACCTATTATTTCAGTTATACAATATTGTATTTATTCTCGGAACAATCGAAAGAACAAGTGAAAGAACAAATTAGTCGTGTACTAATGGAACGATTAATTGTCAATCGACCACATCCATGGGGTCTCTTGATGACCAGCGCCGAGTTGTTACGTAATCCAGCGTATCGATTTTGGGAGCATGAATTTGCTCGTTGTAATCCAGAGATTGAAACGTAAGTTGGTGTTGTCGGTGGTGGTGTCGTGTTTGATTTAAACCTAGAATACCAATTGCAAAATTTGCATGAATTGTAAACAATCGAATGAAATGACCTTGATTATTGACCTCAGTTGCATGTTGTCATTGATTATCAGTATATCTTGCCTCATCCTCTCTCTGTCTCTTCCCCTGTCTAACCTGTGACGAGATGTTGTTTGACACTTGAAACTGTTTACTATTCAAATTTGCATAAGTTTATTTGCTGATGTTTAGGGTTTGTGTATATGTAGAAGCTTGCCTATTGTACACGCACGCACACAGACATCCGTACACTTTATTAAATTTAGTACTTATTTCCATTGGGTTGTCGAAAGTTTTCCCCCAATTCCGATGAGATACTTCTCTCGATTATACTTATTACTAATTAATGAGAGTGCAGAGAGTTCGGCCTCGCTTTCGAAGTACTCTCATATGACCATGTGTAAAAATAGTCACTGCCTTCTTGCTGTAACTATGATTCTCTTAAGGTAGCCAAATGCTTCGTCATCTAATTGAATGGGTATATTAGGTGACGCACATCAATGGAGCCTTGTGGGGGTTGTGTTGGCGGCTACATCTTCGTGGTCCTGCCAGGCAACGTGGCGTTGTTTACAGCTCTGCGGCTAAAAGTCGTTCCGAACGCTTAGGATACCGTGCTTAGCGTGGTCCAGAATAATGATACGCGTTCATGGTCGCAAGGTTGTAGATGCGGTTAGCCACTCTGGGGGATTAGGATTGAACGCCTCTAAATGTGAATCCCGTCCATCGAGCGTAGTTAAATTTCGAAATATTGAGATAATAGCTTTCTAGGATACTTGAAGGAGGTGTTAGAAAACGGTGTTAGGTAAGGATGGCAGATGAATAAATGAAGTAGAGAACCTTCATCAGTTGAGGTAATTGGGACATGTGTTACGTATGCCCAACGACCGACTGCCTCGTCAAGCTGCCACGACGAGCTTTGTTTTGCAGTGTAGGAGTAGATTGGAAGAAAGCTAGGGCCGGCCGAACCCAAAACGTGGCACAAATGCATGAAGTTACTGACACGTGGACTGAGTCATGTTGGTAGATGTCAACAACCTGGTTGGGGTGCGCGAGTCGAAAGTCACCATTGGTTAGAGACCTTGAATAACATGACTCAGAATCGTTTGCAATGGCGCAGGTGCATCCACTCTTTGTGTTCTGTCTAATTCTAACCTGAATTCCTCATCATCTCTATCTTTCTCCTTCTGAATTTATCTTACTGAATAATACTTTTCAAATCATATCTTCGCTCCCTAATCTTCTCTATTACTGCTAATACTTCTTTCTACTATCGCTAACACTCTTGGATTTGAACTGACAGTTGGGTCTCTATGCTGATGTGGTATGGCAACCTAAACTTATATACTTACGTACGAATTTCCGCGTTGTATTTGTCTGTCTGTCTGTTTTATGGGTTAGTTAGTTAATTATTAATTACTCTGTCTCTTTCTTTATTTTTCCCCCATTTTATAGAATTGTAACTATTGTCGCCCGTAGTTGTATACCTAATTTTCAAATTCCCAATGTAAATTCTTCTGACAATTGTACACCGTCTAGTGTTGTTCCATCAAGTGGTCTACGTTATGCTTTATTATCACCAGGTACTGCACAAGGTTCCGTGTAATCAGAATGACGGAGACGGCGATGACAACGTCGGCGACTATTTGTATTATTATTTTCTCTCTCTTTCCCTTTCTGTTCCATGTGTGTTTTTCCCTTATTCCTTCTTCTCCTTCTTCTTCTTCCTTTTACCAGCAGCGTCGTCATCGTTATTGTTGTTGGTGACGGCGCGCTCCCGCGCATGTGTGTGTGTGTGCTTGCGTTGTTTCTGTTTTGTTTAAATTAAACATTTTCATATGACTGACTAACTGACTGACTGTCTGACTGTGTATGTGTGTGTGGTCGCTTTGTTTTTTTTCTTTGTAATTAAAATTCATCTCATTTTGTGTTAATGGATTATTACACTCCCCTCCCCCCAACACTCTAATCACATTTTTTTTGTTGATCCCCTCTCTTTGTAAAATTTCATTATTATTGACCCTATTCTCTATATATACAAATATATAAATATAAATATATATATATATATACACACATAAATATACATAAAACTATTTTAAAACGAAAACTTTTCTTTTTATCTGATCATTGCATTGCGGGTTTGTTGTGAAGATTGTTAAGTTTTGTATTTGTAACCATTGAATCGATCAATGTTAGTTAGACCACCATTAGAAACCTGGAACAAGCACTGGATGACGGCCGTTTCGTCCTGGTATGGGACTCATCAGTGGCAGTGCGCATCCACGACTCCTGCACCCCGCTGATGAGTCCCATACCAGGACGAAACGGCCATCATCCAGTGCTTGTTCCAGGTTCCTAATGCTGGTCAAACATTGATCGACTCAATGGTTACAAATAAAACTTAACAATCTTCACAACAACCTCGCAATGCAATTACATGTGTACACTAGTGACTAGCTTGGTGAGGAATCTTCTCCGAGTTCTAGTGAGAAGTTGTGACCAGTGAAGTTCAAACCTGTTCGGATGTATACAGGGTATGAATTTGCGCAACTCCGTGAATTTGATCAAGTTAGACATTAACACCGTTAGATACCGGCTCAGTGGTCCTGGGTTCGAATCCTGCGGGGTGCAGGGGTCGTGGATGCACACTGCCACTGATGAGTCCCATACCAGGACGAAACGGTCATCGTCCACTGCTTCCAGGTTTCTAATGGTGGTCTAACAATGATTGATTGATGGTTACAAATAAATCTGACCATTGTTTGTTTGTTTGTGTGTGTGTGGTTAGTTGAAAATGACGTTGACATGATGGTGTTTGTACTAAGTACTCATCAATCTATGTACTTTCATATGAGAATGAATAAGGAATAAGAGATAAGGCTGATGATCTTGCAGAGACTGTAGAGGTTACGTTGACGTGGTGATTGGGTTTGACTATCTTAGGATGACTTAGCCCGAGCTATATTGGCAGGAATATATGTTCGTTTTGGGTTATAGAGTATGCCAAGCAGGTTGATTGCAGAACGGTAAGATTGAAAGTGGCAATTTAAGGTCTGAGGGCGAAGTCGTACTGCTGACTGGCTGTAGAGGGCGTTTTATAGCAGTAAGTAAGTTGTTTCCCTCGTACAACCAGCATCTGCAAGGATGCTGTTTTTGCTCACAAGGAAGGAAGGTTTCGAGAGGTCGATCGTAAAAATAGCACATCTCACCTCTAACTCACAGATTTCCGTCTCCATTAGTAAGGCCGGAGCGGAGCGGAACATTCCATAAAAGGCCGTACGTGACCAGCCTTAAGCTGTTGTTGTCATTTGGTCGCTGTTGTTACTCTACTAGGTCGCTCCTTGTTCGAGTTCTTCAAGGACAGCCTGAAAGTGGCGGCACATGCCGTCATACCCGTCACAACATATGAGACCGAACTAGTCACAGTCAAAACCTTCCTACACTTCACAATCAATTCCAATTTGTATATTATTAAGTAGTTGAGGCTAAACTTATTTGCAGGTTTGATCATGTTTGTACTATGCCTAGACTGTTTCAATGTTGAATAATTCTCTTAAAATAGACAGCTATCCTGTTCGCAAAAAATGTTATTTGCATGAATATATGCATATTTGTTTGTGAAACTAAGAGATGGTTTTCTCAAAGTTTTGTTTTTCTAACGTGAGTTGATCTTGACTTCCCTTGGGATTGAATGAGTTGCTATGACTTCTTGGTTATACTCACTTCGTCGTAGTAGGACACTCCTTCTTGAGTGATCTGAAAAATAAATTGTTTCGGTCATCTGAGTGTGTGAATTGGCCGAGCTCAAGAGACATCTGTTTGAAGCCGCCGATCATTTACGGCTATTCTTCCATGAGTTATCTTCGTATTTCATAAAGCTCCTGCCACCTTCAACAGACATTTGTGAGATATTTTTAGGAACGACGTTTCTCGACTTGTCTTTTGAGTAGTCCGATTTTGTTTGTCCATAAGAGACACTTTACTGACTGTCAGACATTCAGTCCTAATCCAAAATTATGCTGTTCAACTAACCAACTTGACACGATACAACGAACGTCAACACTAGCAAGAAAGAAATGAACTTTTTCAAATTCGTTCGTTAAATCGTAGGTTTAGAAGATACCAGTGTTTTCTGTCTGTACATCTCATGGTGTGTAGTTATACGAGCAATGTTTTCGAAGCACTGCTCGTATACCCTGGGACAGCCGAGTATGCAATGATATAGTTAGGAAACGAGTACTATATTTAAAGATAGCAGATCAATTGATGAAATATTGAAACTCCATCAGTTGAGGTGGTTGGGACATGTGTTACAAATGCCTAATCACTAACTGCCTCGACGAGCTTTGTTTTTTGGTGTAGGAGTAAGTTGGAAGAAAGCTTGATTGGAGGTCCAAATCAAAACATGGCACAAATCCATGAAGTCAGTGCCAGATGAACTGAGTTATGTTGGTAAGTGTCGACTACCTGATTGGGGTCCGCGAGACGAAAGTCACCGATGGTTAGTGAACTTGAATGACATGACTCAAAATCGTTTTCGATGACTCAGGTGCATTTATTCATTGTGTTCTCTCTAATTCTAACCGTCATAATTACTTTTCATCTCTATCTTTCTCTTTCTAAATTTATCTCACTGAATTATACTTTACAAATCATATCTTCAAACCCTAATCCTCTGTATTGCTAGTAATACTCCTACTATCTCTACCCCTATTGGATTAGAACTGACATTCGCCTCTCTGTGCTAATGCGATATGGCAACCTGGATTTATATACTCATGTATGAAGTTCTACATTGTAACTGACTGATTGATGTAGTTATTCTTAAGCTCCACTTTTCAACTAACAAAATAGAACTTCATAACCTATTTTGCGTTCAAAGGTTATGTGTATTTCACTCAATTCTTGTTGACCTATCTATATAGAAATAAACATTAGTAAGTGACCAGTCTTTCTGTGTTCTCATAGCAATAAGATTCTTGATTTTGATTGCGTAATCTAATCAGTTTCGTGGTTATGTCATTGAAAAATTACGTAATCAGCTTACAATAGAGTCTTTGTTATCTCCATAGTTAACTTTTGTTTATTTTACCAACAGGACAAGTCTGTTTTTTTTTCGAGATGATGGAGAAAATTTGAAGCTCAGGTTGGATGGATAATTGTGGTGGTGTTTGGTTCTCTGAGATTGGGATGTGGTGGAGCTTTTTATTGTTCTTCTGAACGAAACATCATCACAAGACTGTTTTTCTTCATAAGTAATTATGTACTACTTCAAAAAATGCGATGGGATTGATAAAGCTGAATAAACTTGAGATCTTAACCGGGTTAGGCATCCCAAAAGGTCATTCTTGGTATAGGCTAGTTTGAACCGCATTTCCATGTATCTGCCATGAGTTTAGGGTATAATTTAAACGTTCACAGTTGGCTATCTGTTTTATACGACAGTTTTGCCGAGAAGTTTGATCTTAATGTTTTATTTCTCCTTCCAAACACTTCAGTTTAATCTTAGAACATTTTACATTTTCTTATGTACTAGACAGAAAGGTTGAACATGCCATACCCTGATCTCATATATCCCTTCACTGGGATTTCGTGTTGTAGCTCACATATTAACAATATCTTCGTCATACCATTTCTCCTACGTCTAATTCTATCCCTATGTCTAGATGAGATTTACGGCATTATTCTGTACATTTTATGTTATATTAAATCTGTGTGGTGATCATCTGTTGACTGTTATAATTCTTACGAATGTGATCTGATGAGTCCCATAGCAAGATGAAACGGCCGTCCAGTGCTTTCAGATTTCTTATAGTGGTTTAACAGTGATTGATTCAGATTTCATAATCCTTTTAGTGATCAGTATGTTGAACTAGGTTAAATATGTGGGTCATATGTGTGCTTGGTGAACTAGTAGAAATAGTTTTTCATACTGTTCAAAATGTTTAGAATGCTAGTGTGATGATTTACGACATTTTGACACGTAGTTATGATAGTGCTGAACGAATTACGTGCTTAGTTCTGTCTGTGTAGATTATATGTTGAAACTTGTCAATCAAAACGATATCTAAATTCCTAATTCGAAACTCTCAAACAGGCGGCATTAACTAGATCACACTCCACCTCATGAGCGAACAAATCAGATAGAGTCTACTGCATCTGTGCACAGAATCAGTTTATCTGTTTGGCTAGAAAGCATTTTTCATTAAGGCTAGATTGAGTTCTTGTGATGCCAACACTAATCAGGAATGATGTGGTGACTGTTAAAACAACAATCTATTCCAATCCGTTTAAGGGTCAAAGAAGACGAATCATATGGTTGCTTATTCTATTTCCAAGTAGAGAGGATTTACCAGAACGAAGATTTGAATAGATCGATGATGTTCTTGTTTACTTTCGCCTAAAGTATCCATTTGCCAGTGTTGATTTCTGTGTAATTGCGAATTGCTCTAAAATTTGTCGTGATTATAATCGTGTTTGTATCCCGACCGTAGCTGCTACCTCGACGTAGTGGTCGGGTTTGCTTATCGTGATGACCCAACCGAGCTATATTGGCTGGAACATATGTTCCTGTAGGTTCTACCATGCAGGGAGGTCGATTGCAGAATGATGAGACTAAAAGAAGCTACCCAATGTTTGAAGACGAAGTCGTACTGTTGACAGAAGTAAGTTGTTTCCCTCGAACAACCAGCATCTGCAGCGATGTTGCCTTCTCACAAGGAAGGAAGTGGTTAGAAAAGGTCGACCCTAAAAATGTCATACCACACCCTGCCTCACGAATTTCCGTCTCCGTCGGTAAGGGCTGCCCAATATGGGCTTTTAAAAAGAGCGGAGCTACTACTCAAAAAATGTTCCATAAAAGGCCGTGCATGACCGGCCTCAAGCATTTGTCCTTTTGCTCCGCGGTCAGGCTCCCAGTTCTTTAACGACCTGGCTCAAAATTGTTTGCAATGGTGAAAGTGCATTCGTTCATTGCCTTCTCTCAAACTCTAACCTTCTGCATCCCTCATAATCGCTACCTTTCTCCTTCTAAATTTATCTTATTGAATTACAGTTCACGAATCATATCTTCGAACCCTAATCTCCATTACTGCTAA